TTCTCTCTTTCTCTTGTCTTCTTCCTCATCTTCTTCTTCCTTCTTCACTGGTTCGGACTACTGTAGCTGCTCCAAAACAATTAGAACCATGGTTTAAAATGTCCCTAAATTTCTTAATATTTCCACAACATATTTCCATGGATAGTGACACAAAATTTTATTGGAATCAACATATTCCCCGATGAACACTACTGGCACTATGCAAAGTACAAGAGATAGTATTATAAGTTGGTGACAATATTGTAGGTATGTGGAGTAGCAATTTTATTGCCCATCCAACTTGCATGATTCATGACTTTGATCCAGCTTGATATTCATTTCAAACCTGAAGTTAAATATTAGTTTTCTTTGTGTAATAGATTATTGGGTTGATATATTAGAACCATTTGCATTTTCTATGGCTTTAAAATTTTCTTTAACTCATTCTAGCCTGTAGCTTTGAATCTTGAGGTTTACAGGACAACTTTAGAACATATTCTTTGTCTAAAATCTGTGTTTCTTAGCTTTGTTTAATGATTTGGAACAAGGTAATAATTTAAAAAGGTGTGCCTGTGTTTCTTTTATCATTTCATAAAACATCATTCTATATTTTTGCATATTTTACAATGTTTCTACTGTGTCTATAATTTTTACAATATTTTCATACGATGTTTCCGACATTTACATGTTTCCTATATTTAGACGACTGACATTTCCATCAACACTATTCATCAAAAAAAAAAAAACATTTCTATCAGCACTGACATTTTAACCCTTGATCAGAACTGAATACTTTATAAATAGTCAAAGTTGAATTGTGCAACTTGTGAAGGTTATAACATTCTTAGTAAAGAGGCTCAGATTGAAAATTATCATTAGATTATTTTTACAGTCAATGTGGGATGGAACTGACTTTGCAAGTTACTATAGATCGTCAAAGTGGCAATATGTTGATTGTCCAGATTCCTTCTTTTAAACACATTTGAAACTGATGATGAGATAAATGTACTCAAGTGGGAAATGTACTCATATAATAGGTAAGTTATACATCTGATGTTTTGAGGAGTAGCTTGGTCAAGGGACTCCAGAGCAAAGACCCTTGCTCTTCTAGAGGGCCCTTTGTTGATGTTCTTATGGTTTTTTTCTGCTAGAGATTAATGCTCAGACTGTTGTGGCATGGATTATGGGTAGGGGAGGGAGTTGATGGCCCCTGTTCACTGAGACAGTATATCAGAATGATAAGAGCATTATCTGATAGGGGGAACATCACTTTTTCTGGTTCCTACATCAGCCAACTCTTTAGCAGATGAACCTAGGATGGGGATAAGGGAGGAGTGAGCTGTTATGTAATCCACTCCTCCAGGGGATATTTAGATGTCATTCTGTTTTTTTTTTTTTTTTTTTTTACTTTAAATTTAAACTTTTTGCATCTTTGAGGTCTTCTGGTCTGGGATCTTGTCCAGAATCCCCAGATGATTGTATTCTCGTTTCTCCTTTTGCCAATCTAAGCATTGTACATTCCCCACCGAAGTTTGAAACACACAGTATGGTTTTGAAGACTAGTAGTGCAAGCACAGGGATTCCCGATAACTAATTTGATCCCACTGTTTTGAAGCTTTATTGTTCTCCATTAATTTGCACGTATCATTATGACTGTTGTTGCATTTGAATATTGCATGCTTACCAAGTAAATTATTTAGGTTTCCAGCACATCAACCTTTCAAGCTTTATGGCCTTAGCTGGTCCTTGGGACAATGGGAGATTTCTACTTGTAGAAACCTCAACTTTACTGGTGTTGTGGAAAAGATTAGTACCTTTGTGATAATCAGGCCATCAGGGATGGACCTGGATCTTCTTTTATTATTCCTGGTAGTAATTTTTGAACCAGCAAACAGTGATGTGGGATCATGTATTCCTGCTCCATTGTCTTGCGATTAAAACTTTATATCTGAAATCCTAAGCAGATGAGGCATCTTCATTTTGAAAATGTTTCTTTCTGATTTTTTTAGAATCAGAAGCCAGAACCGGCAGAGGGACACTATAAACCTGGATAAAGCTGGATCAACTCAGTGACTAAATRKGATCATGTATTCCTGCTCCATTGTCTTGCGATTAAAACTTTATATCTGAAATCCTAAGCAGATGAGGCATCTTCATTTTGAAAATGTTTCTTTCTGATTTTTTTTCAGAATCAGAAGCCAGAACCGGCAGAGTGACACTATAAACCTGGATAAAGCTGGATCAACCCAGTGACTAGATATGATCATATGATTGTGAGAGTCGATTCAGAATCTTCTTATCAAAGAAAAAAAAAAATAGGATAAATTCTGAATCACATTCCAGCCTAGGGGTTGTGAGCGTGGTTTCTAATTTGGCACTTTATTATTGCAATTCTTATAATGCTTATAGAAAATGAAGAAAATTAAAAAAAAATCAGGTACCTCAATTTTGATTGTTTATTTGATCCATTACTTTATAATTGGTAATAAGGATTTTTTTTCTTAGCTTACACCTTATATATGCTTCTTTGTTTTTTATTTTTTTGGTGCATTGACTTGATGTTGTGCAATGGCAGTGATAAAGAACGAATGCTTATTGAAAAGCTGGCTTCACTCAAGGCATCCTATAGAGACCATGCTGTTCCCTCCAATGGTACCATTTTGTTTTCTTAAATAATGCCAATGTGTAAATTTTGATAAAAAATTTATACAATGGCAATGAATATTTTCTGGTTTTCTTGATCCATAATTTTATTCTTTCAGGGACAGTTGAAGGTGACTTTAGCAACTGTAAGATGAGGAACAATAGCCATTCTTCAAGTGCAGGGGTCAAGCAAATCTCATCATTATGGAGCTCTTTAAAGAACGTTTTCAGGTAAACAAAAGTCGTACCTAAATTACTAGCATTATTTTCCGGTATGTTTTTTTTGTTTCAATAATCTGCTATAGTTGCTTATACTTTCATTTAACATTTGGTCCTAATGTTTGTTAATTTGTCTAAGTTGATAATGATTCATACATATATGTCTGAGCGGTAAAACATATTAGTCAATATTTAAAGCCATGTTCACTAGACACTTGATAGTTTAACCCTGATCAAATGTTGACTCTTTGACCAACCTGACCTATTAGCACTATTACGAGTAATCAATAAAAGCAATCTTCATCATCGTGCAAGTGGCTAAAATGTTAGAAAGTTGTTTATGACATAAACCACATTAGTCATGTTAGATTAAGAGAATTTATGGGACCATAGTTTTGGTGGATTGGTTAGATGCAGGAGCCTGAATGGCTACCCTGTTGGTTAGAATTTGGGAAATTGTCTCTTGAACTACAAAAATGTCATGAGAAATTGGAGTAAAAACCAAATCATATTACATACACATTTCATTTAAAAATTATAGGCATACTTTTTCTGTGTGGTTTGTTGAGCCACTTAACTCATTAAATTTCTTTTCTCACCATATACCTTCACCACTTCCATAGAACTTTGATATTCAAATCAATGTTTTCGAACCGTCATTGACCTGGATGGTTGGACCATTTGACCCGGAAATCGTCCAGGCAACCGATTCCGTTTCACCCTTAACCCGTTTCTTGGCTAGAAACTGTCTACTTGGTCAGAGAACCGCTGACCTGGGCGGTTGAACTATCAACCCGTTCGACCCGGACAGTGGTTCACGTTTTAATAAGATGCAAGGAGATTGACAGACGGTGAGAGACTGAGACAATATTGCAGATTTGCAGAGAGTGAGAGATCCGAATGGTTGCCGCCACCATTGCCATCACCATCGCTGGTGAATGCTGGATGTTCCTCCTCTTCCTTCTTCCCTCCTTCTTTCCTTTCCTTTCTCTCCTTTCCGTTTTTTTCTTTCTTTATCAGCCGACAATCACATGCCCCTTTTTTCTTATAAAAGAGCAAGAGTAATGAACCTTAATATTTCAATATACTCAAACCGCCTGAACCGTTCAACCTGGACAGTTGAACCATTGACCCAGAAACCGGTGGCCACAACAATTCCATTTCCGGGTCGGTTTTTAAAACCTTGGTTCAAATAAGTATTCAGACTTGTATAATACATCTTCCCCTACATTAGCTTATTCAAATTTCAAAGTATATTTGTTTATTTCCACATTTGAATGAATGAAATTATCTTTCTTTTTTTTTCTCCATTTTAAAGGTTTTAGAAGCATTTCTCTCATGTATATTTCCCTGGTTTTGGTTCTTGATATCCTAGAGACAAATAATGTGTCATATGTCCTGACAAAATGCTCAAATGGATGATGCTGGCCCGAAATTTTACTTTTGGTTTCCTTAGGTTACAAATGGATTTTCCTTGACCTAATCTGTTGCTGAACTCATTTCTAACTATCGGGTAATTCACAGGAGAAAGCAATCTCGGACACGCTTTGCATCAGTTAGCATTGAAACACCTACTGCAGTTTGGACTTGTAGCAGACCAGATTCCTCAATTATGGCATCCATGTTTGTGGTTTTTGTTATAAGCTGCATCTTTTCTTTGATAGGGAGGATTAATTCGTCCACCACACGACAGAGGAACTGCTCCCTTCCTCCCTGTAATAAAACAAGAACAGAGATATAGCAGTGATTGCCCACATTTTGTAATAGCTACAAATTGCTCAGAAGGGAACTATCAAAAAAAAAAAAAAAAAGAATTGCGCAGAAGGGGATGGTTTATGATATTTTGCTCACTCCATCCCTTAAAGACAATAAAATTCTTGTTATATTCTCTTTCTCATTTTTTAAGTGAAGATCAAATTGATCATTTCTAAATCTGGCTTTACAGTTAGCTTCTGGTTCCAACTACATCCATGCCTTGTGCTGATCTGGAGCTACTCAATATTGACTATTGGGTGCCTTCAAACGCCTCTTAGGCTCTTACCTTGCAGCGAGGGGAGGGCTTCAGCGTTGATTTGAGCTTCGTTGACTGGGCCGCTACCTGAGATAACTTTACTGGGAAGTCAATTTCGAACTTACGTGGTTTTTATCACACACTATTTATGGCGTTCTTGATTCCTTTGCTCACATCTAAAAGCCCTTCCAAATGGGCGCATGTAGCCCCTCCGTGCCATAGCCTGTAAGCCCATGACAAAGTGGTCGTTGGAAATTGGGGACTGGGCACGCGATTGTGCTACCCACAATCTGTTTCCACAATCTGTTCCCACATCTCTACCTACAATAGGTATATCAATTATCATTCTTGGGAGATATTCCCAATACACGGTGTTGTTTTGTGGGTAAAAGATGTGGAAACAGATCCGGATCAGGAAGAGAATCGGGTTGCTGATTGATCTATTAATTGTGCTCATTTTAGTCATATTTTATATAGTCCAGGGTTATCAAAAAATCTGTATTGAGCGTGTCCGTATTTTTCCGAAAAATATCCGGAGTGGATCATCGATAGTCAATCATTGGGCCCTCCAGAAACTTTCTGTACATGCGCTCCACTTTCCACTGATGACTGATCAAGTTCCGTGGCTTAATGGGTCCCACAAGATGGCACAAGTTGGACGGTTATGATCATCTCATTATTCTTAGATTTGGTGAGGGTCAGGTTCCGAGGAGACAAGGTAGGTACTTTTTGGTGGGAGCCCCTGATAGTAACTGTTCGATGGGTATCAAGTTATTTCAGTATTGGTAGCCCTGCCGATGCGTTGTTACGTACTAGTACAACGCGGTGCGTCCGTCGTCCGAGTTAAGATCTAACCGCGCACCATTTTGTTATGGTAATCCATGAAGCAGAGTATCACTCACCATTCATCAATAATCATCATACTCCCCACTAACACCAGTTACACCACGAAGGAAAAACCCAGAAGGATAACTGATAAGTGATAAGCCAAGCCATGTAGAAGCTTCTAGGCTCTCAGTCCAAACTGATCCTCGATAACTCTGAAAACCAAATATAAAGCAGCAACCTTTCTTGAATCATCCCTCGATCAGCTATTCAGCTGAGTGTTCGTTCATCGTTCCCCCAAAGCTTCCGCTTCAACATGGCAGATACTCTGTTCGGAGACCCCTTCAGGCGCTTCTTCTGGAGCACACCCATCCTCCGAGCGTATCCCGGAACGACGGCCCTGATGGACTGGCTCGAGACCCCAACTTCCCACATCTACAAGATCAACGTCCCAGGTACTTTCGTCTCTCTGATCACGTATTATGATAGGATAGATATAGATCTTCTGGGTTTGTGTAATTCTGTCTGTTTTGATCGATCAGGGTACGGGAAGGAGGACGTAAAGGTTACGATTGAAGAAGGGAACGTTTTGCAGGTGAAAGGAGAGGCTAGGAAGGAAGAATCACCAGGAAAGGATGTGATTTGGCATGTAGCTGAAAGAGGAACCACACGGGGAGAATTTTATCGGGAAATTGCGCTGCCTGAGGATGTGAAGATTGAGCAGATAAAGGCCCAGGTCGACAATGGTGTTCTGACGATCATTGTCCCCAAGGATGCCAGCCCCAAGTCCTCCAAAGTCAGGAACATCAGCATTTCCAGCAAGCTCTGACTCTGATGCAGAAATCTTCGTCGTTATTAGTGAGTGAAAAATAAGAGAATAAGAGTATGAAGAGGAAGTCTTCTTTGTTCTGAGTGAGTGCTGAAATAGAAAATAAAACTAAATTAAAACTATGTAATTTTGTTGAAATATAGAACGAATTCTTGACTTATTTATCTGTAGATGTGTTGTAGCTGTTGCATGACTGCATCAGATCATCACATACCTTTCTTCTAGAAATTCTCCGAAATCGGAATGTTTTCATTCCAGGGAGGGGCAGGGCCCCTATTCCCTCGTTAATGAGGGAATGCTATTTTAACATGAATGGGATTCCAATTCCATCTAATTAAACAGTTGAAATTAGAATAGATCATTCAGATATTCGGGACCCTATTCCAATGAACCAAAGGGGGCCTTAGATGAATCTGATACACCAGTTCTTCAATGTGGGCCTGCCCCATTTAAAAATACTGTATGCCCACTGGTTTGTTTTTTATAGCTGTTTTGCACTAAGCTTTCCACGTGCCAAAGAACAATGCTACATTTGGTAAACAAAGACACCTGTAAATCATTAGTGAATCCCTACTGTCCACCTGAATCCTAAGTAGCTCTGCCATAATTGATGAAGAGGTCATCGAGGGTTCCTTTACATTAACCACACCATAGACAGCCACCTTGAATCTTTACTGATCATTTCTCCAATTTAAAATATTGAGAATGTATTTTCATAAGAATAATTAAGGGGCCATTTTGCAAGTCTTTTGAAAAGATTTTCCAGTAGGTTTAATAGTCAAAAACTCAAATGTTTGGCTATGGTGTGTTTTCCAAAAATCGTCTGATTTAACCTTTTCACGTCTTTTCGGTGTATCAGTTTTTGACGGTTAAATTTTTTGTAAACCAAACGAAGAAAGAACGAATCACCAAAAGCTGGCTTGATTGAAGAGCTGTTAGACTCTAGATGTTTCAAGAATATGTCCAAATTAGTTCATCTTCATGTCCAACCAATGGAGGCTTCGGATAATGTGATATATAGAACCATTCTACTTATTTTCATGTGGGAATATCTTAGTATTTCGTCTTCCTTCAAACGCAGATTCACTGCATCAATCAAGTAAGCCGAGTCCCATCAAAACTAATATGAGCAATATTTATCGAGGTGGAGTAACTGGGAATCCAAGGGTCATCGAGTATATACATCAATGTACCATCCAAACCCAACCAGCTATCTAGCATACTTCCGCAGGTTTTCTTTACATTGAACAATACAACTCCAAGTTACGAGCCCTGAGGTGTTTCGAGTGACTAAGGTATTTTTCTTTTAACACCTGTATCCAAAGAGCATTATTCAGGTTAAGAAACGCCAAGCCAGTCCATAACCAATGCTTTCTTCTTCTAAATCCAAATCTCTGATCCCTAAGCCCCCTTCTTTGGTTTTCACCACAAGATTCCAGCTTCGAAGATGAAAGCTTTTTTTTTTTATCTCCCACCAAAATTCTCTTTCTAGCTTCATAATGTCATTGCACTCTTTCTTTGAGAATAGTCGGGTTTCCATGAGGTACGATGGTATAGAGTTCACTGTGATTTTACAGTCCGTTTGGTTGCCTCGACTGGAACGAGAAAAGATGAATATTTTCTTGAGATACTTCTTTTCTCACATTTGTTTTGGGTGAAATAGTGAGATACGATAGGAAACTATATCACAAATTTAGGTTGGGGGTTCGGATCGTCTGTCCCCTGTCTCAACCAATAAGAACCGAACACACCACCCCCTCCCTCTTTTGTTTGAAACTGACGGAATCCAGACTTAACGACAGTCTTCAATTAACCCGCTTTTTTTCATTTCCTTTCCATTTTCTTCTCTTCCCTAGTCCCTCCCCATCGCCCCTTCACCCTCATCGACACACAACGAATCTCTACCGCCGTCGGAGATGTCTCTGCAACCCTCGCCGCTGCAATTTTTTCATCTCTTCTCATCCCTCAACCGTCGGAGACGGAGACGGCGACGGCAAGGTTCCTTCATTATTCTACGTCATGAGAAAGGTTTCTACTTCATTGTTTGAGGGCAGCAATACTCTGATTGATTTATCTAATGTTGTATCTGAATCTTGTATCCGCCTTTAAGATGACAGCATCCCTTACAATGTCCTCATCTCTGATTCTGGAAACGGATTTTCCTAGGTAATAAACTTTGGCACCATTTTTTGTCTGTTCTCTGCTGCAGTTTATGGTTATACCATTTGAGCCTTTCTATCTAGGCACATTTTATCTGGGGTGCTGATTGACTTTGCTGCTTGAAACAATTACAGTGTTATGCTTCTTAACACTCAGGTCAACCCGGCTGTGTGGAAAATCAATGACCACATGGTGTTAAAAAGAAAACAAAACTATGAGGAGAACGCTTGGAGGCTCCTTGCAGAGGCCTCCCTCTCTGAAGGGAGGTTCCAGGAGGTGATGGCTCTGATTTTTGAAGCCATTGCTTGCAATGTCGATGCAAATGGAAGCATCGCTCAAAGCATTGGAGAGAAAGCAGCTGATGGGAACCAAGGAACCAACACTACAATGACTCAAGGGAAGCAAGAATGCCTTGTTCAGTATTAGTTGGTGTGTACAAAGAACTGGGTGATTGTGGTAGATGTATCGTGGTCATTCCTGGTGGTAACCTAAACAAAGGAAACCGTGTTTCCTTTTCGCCATTGTCATTGTTGTTCCGGTGTCTTGTCTTGGTAATCAAATGTATTCTATGCACACCGGTTTATGCATACTGTATTGTACTAGTTTTAGATGAATTTCCATGTACTTGAGCCTTGAGGATAGTTCAAAGATTATTTATATGGTTCTTTCTCCTGTAAAAATTAATGGATACATATTTTCCATTGAAAGGGCCTAATTCTCTCAAAATTAATGTCTGAACTGATGCTTACAAGAGTTGACATGCCAATTATAAGAACTCCCAAAATTCAAATGGGTTAATCAAGTGCTCTAACACAGGATACCAACGTTGTTAGTCCAGTTTACAAGAGTTGAAGACTTAGAGCAGCAGTGCAGAAGCCATAAGAAGTAGAGCGCCTTGCAAATTTTTCTTTCCATACTAGTGCAAAACCGGGTAGTAGAACTAGCTGGGTTGCAGAGGCATCTCTGACGGCGGTGGAGATTCGTGAGAAGAACTGAAGAAGAGAATAGAGAGGGAATAAGAAAAGGAGGGTGCTGTATAGGCATCTCTGCAGCACCGACAGTTGTCTGGAAGAACTGCGAGTAACAGAGAGGAAATGAGAAGAAAAGAGAGGCAGCGCCAGCTCCGATGGTGGTGGAGATTCGGGTTCTGTGGGGAGAGCGGTTCGATGCTGTATAGGGGCGGCGGTCGGTTGTAGTGGCGGTGAAGGAAGAAGAAAGGAGGAGCATGGTTTTTAAAAACGAACCGGTGATCGAACCGGTTAGGGATCCGGTTACCGGTTCAAACGGTCAGACCGTTCGACCCGAACGGCCGGCCCGTTCTGACAAAAAATAAAAAAATTGGAAAACGGTCAAAACCGTTCAAATGGTTAACCAGCCAGTTCAGCTGTTTGCTGACCAAAATCAACAGTTTTGGAAAAAAAGCGGTTTTGGGGGAAAATAGAAGTGATCGGTTCCCGGTTTTTCTGGTCCGGTTTTGAAAACCATGAAAAGTGATCTGGGCTGCCGTTTAACTCTGGACTCCATTAAATTTGAGTTTCAAACAAATAGGTGTCGTCGTAGTATTTCATTGGATGGGACAGAAAATTTGACGATCCGAACTCTTTCACAGAATTAGGAATGCCAATGGGGCGGGGCGGGGATGGGGAGCCTCTCCCATCCCCATAATATTTTATAATATTAATAATTTTGTTTTTGTTTTTTTATTTTATTTAAAAATTAAAATAATTAAAATGTACAATTTATTAAAAAAGATTCAAACATATTCAATTATATTTTTAAAACATTAATATATAGACGAATGTATAAAAACATATATACATATATATATTAGTGGGGATCCCACGGACAGGGATTAGGATCCCCACCGGGTGGGGAGTGCTTTCCTCGTCTCCGCCCCGTCCCCATTATGAGGATGAAAAATTTCCATCAATCATCCCCATCCCGCTAATGGGAAAAATTACCATCCCTATACGGAGTGGGTGCCACTGAAAAACAAAAATACCTAAAAGTTTTGTTTGAAAATACTATGGAGTTCGAGGCATGTCTCCATCGTCTTAAACGAGCTCTAGCCTTCTAACAGTCACTACCCCATCATCTGCGTCGTTGTCTTCGAGCTCCAACCTTCCAATGGTCACAATCGCATCGTCTCTGTCGTTATCATCTCCGTCATTGTTTCCGTCGTCATCTCCGAGCTCCAGCCTTCCAACGGTCACAACCCCATCATCGTCGTATCAGGCGAAATAGTATTGCTTCCATCCTTGAAGTCTGGATTTTATCTTCTCAATGATTTGTTTCCCCTCCTCCGCCTAGGAAATTAACTGAGGATCTTTCTTCTACTAGTTCTACTAGTATTTTTACCGAATCAGATGTTTTCTCCCTATTAAATGAATTCACATCTGGTGCAAGTGTGATCGCGCAACACTCCTTGTTAGTTGTGACCCAATAAAACATGGGCAATATTCAGACTGAGCTGAATTCAATAGGGTTGGTCAAGACCTAGTTTGTCAAATGGCCTGACTACAGGCTTATGTACATATAGGATGGACAAAATGGAGGGTACATTCAAAGTCTTTTTGATAGATGAAGGAAACTTCTATAAAACAATTGTAAAGTAAGTTATATTTTATGGATGAGAGTGTTGAGCAAGTAAGAAACAATCAAACAATATGTCCAAAAAATGAGTTGTAGAGATGCAAATACTTTTTTTTTTTTTTTCAGTAGGCATAGAAATGCAAATGCTTATATGAATAAGTAGTGGTAAAACTAAAATGGACAGGTTTAGAAAGGAAGTCATATGAAGGAGCTTAATGATAACTCCAATACGTGAGTAAATGAGATAAAATAGATTGAAATGGTCTGTTCATGTGTATAGAAGACCATGTACAACACCTATCAGTTAGGACAAGTGATTTGTTATAAGTTGAAGGGTCTAAATAGAAGAGCTAGGGTTAAACCAAAAAAGAATTGGATGGAGATAATAATAAACCACCTTCCATTAAAAATCAGTTCA